CCATCTCATCATGCATCATAGCAGGCCAATGCTTAGAGTCCTTGCTACTCATAGCATCTTTATAGGACTCGTGTTCATTCTCAATGAAGCCTTGAACAGTAAGAAGGGACATTTCATCATCAAACCTCACAAGTGGTCTTATTTGTCTCCTTTCTCTATCTCTTGCAAGTTGATAATCATTTAACGATTGATTTACTTCAAAATCATGTTCATTCAGATAAGTTTCATCAGTATTTTGAACCTCAATTTCACTATTTTCAATCTGATCAGGTTGTAGATTATCATTATTAACTTGCTCCACCTCAATTTCAGTTTCCCTCCTTTCATTTTCAGTCTGACCAGATTCAATTGTGTCATTTTCAGATTTCAAACAAGACATATCAGATTCATTAAACATTACATTTCTACTCAAAATGATCTTATAACCTTTGGTCTCTTTTACCCAAAGTATATACCCCTTCACTCCTTCATCATAGCCCAAGAAAACACACTTTAGGGCTCTAGGTTCAAGTTTTCCTTCAAATTGGTGTGCAAATGCTGTACAACCAAATATTTTTAGATTTCTCAAATCTACAGGTTTTCGTGTCCAAACTTCTTCAGGTGATTTGTATTGTTTAGCATTAGCGGGGCTTCTATTTATGAGATAACTAGCAATTTTTACAGCTTCGCCCCAAAATAACTTGGGAAGATCAAAACCTAGTAACATACATCTAACTCTTTCAAGAATAGTTCGGTTCATTCTTTCAGCCAAGCCACTTTGTTGTGGGGTGTGTGTCACTGTTCTGTGTCTTAGAATACCATGCTCTTTGCACAACTCACCAAATTCATAATTGAAAAATTCAAGCCCGTTATCAGTCCTCAACACTTTAAACTTTTTATTTGTTTGATTTTTCAATCAAGATTTTCCTTTCTTTAAAAGCATTAAAAGTGTCAGACTTATGTTTAAGTAGAAAGAGCCAGTTTTTCCTAGAAAAATCATCTATGATTAAAAGGAAAAATTTGAAACCAATATGTGTGGGCATAGAAGCAAGTCCCCAAAGATCAGCATGCAAATACTCAAGAATAGACACAGATTTATGCATCTCAGGCAAAAATGGTAGTCTATTTTGCTTTCCTAGTATGCAATGATCACAAAAATTGAGTTTCTCAATTATATCTTTACCAAAGGCACCTTGTTTTTTTCAAAATCTACAAGCCTTTGTCACTAATATTGTCCAATCTTTTATGTCATAGTTGTGACTTATCATTCAAGGCAGAAATTGCTGCTGATGTGGAGTCAAAAAAGTTTTGAGTATGTAAAATGTAAAGCCCATGTCTCTTGGGGACTTCGGCAACAAGTTGAGAGCCCATCAAGATTTTAATATATCCCTTGTTAATCACAATATTATAGTCCAGGTCATCTAGGACACCTAAGGATATGAGATTTCTTTGTAGGTCAAGAACATACCTGGTTTTTTCTAAAGTCAATTCATTATTATCGTCAAACCTTAAGGTGATTGTTCCTATTCCTTTTACCTGACAAGACATGTGATTACCCAATAACACTTGGCCTCCATTTACATTTACAAACTCTATAAACCACTCTCTTTTAGGACACATGTGAAAGGTGCAACCAGAGTCAAGGATCCACTCCTGACTAAGTGTATTGTGTGCAGCAACATAAACCTCATCTATGTTGTACTCACTTTTATAAGCCAAAGCATCACCATCATCATTATTAGACTTATTTTTCAAATCATTAAGTCTCTTATGGCAATCTTTGATAAAACGACCTTCACCTAGTTGGTAAAAAGATTTTTTACCCTTAGTCTTATTTTTCATTTTATCTTTAAAGTTCACCTTCTTCTTGTGTCTAGGTTTCTTATTAAAATTGGACATCTTTGGATTTTGATTAGGTTTGGACTTAACCATCAAATTTCCACCACTAACAGATTTTCTCTTTTCAGATTTCAACTCTAACTCTTTGTTTCTCAATACAATTATTATCACATTAGTAGTTAGAATCTCCCTTCCATATTCAATAGCATTTTTAACATTTCTATATTTATCACTTATTGAATTTAACAAAACCACAGCCAACTAATCTTTTGAGAGTTTCTCATCATAGTCAGCTAGGTCACGGTATAATCTATTGAATCTATCAATGTTTACCTCATGATCAAGAGATGGGTCCAATTTGAAACCAAAAAATTATTTTAGAAGATACACTTTATTAGGTATAATTTTATTCAAATCAGTATCTTCCAATTTCTTCTACAACTCAGCAGTAGTTTTTGTCTCACCAATCCCTCTTAACACGTTGTCAGACAAATGCAAGAATATAGAACTCCATGCAGTTTCATCAAGTTCAATTTTCTTAGTTTCTTCCATATCATCATGCTATGACTTATTAATGACTTTTGCACATTTTTGTTGAAGTAAAAGGGCTTGCATTTTCTGGCCCCAGAAACTAAAGTTTCCTTTACCATTAAAGATTTCCAATTCTTTTAATTGACATAATAAAAACACAATTTGATTTTTAACAATGCAGGCAGACCACATAAGTTTTGAACAATATCTACAACATGCAGTATCTCAAATGTCATACACAATAATCAATGTAAAGTGTACAACCAGCAAGTTGTATGTCTCAGGTTATTTAGCAGAAGAAACTCAGCAGTTCATCCAATTACAAAAATAAGCAGTTTACTCAAAAATAACAACACATCAAGTTACAGTAACATAAATACAGCGTGCTTTATTCATTCTATACATGATACTTGCAAGAATCATTAAAAAATAATAATAATAATAATAAGTAAATAAATAAATTAAAACGTCGACCTTTACTCAAGATAGCCCTCAGATTCCAGACAACTCACGATTTCTGGACAAAGGTACTATCAAGAAGTCTTCGATTTAAATTTTAATCTCGGTTGCAAAGATTTCACAGTATATGCAAGTGCTATGTATGTAACTCGACAAAAAAGGAACGAACTCACCAAAATCCCTTATTAGGGTTTCAAGAAACAAGCTAAATCTACTGAACGAGTCTAAGGTACTTTCAGATCTACCAACACCTGTGCCAAGAACCACTTTATACAAGCTCTTATACCATTGTAACGCAAAGTTCACAAAATCAGCGAGTTTAATCAACAAAAGATACCGAAAATAATAAACATAAAACTGAAAAATGAAAAGAAATCGCAGAAAACATAAAGAGGAACACAGAATTTTTTGCCCTAAGGTAAGAGGTTCGCTAATCCCCTTTTGAGCTTCCTTCAAATCAGAAGCAATCACTAAATCAATGAAGCTATCCAGATTGTACATCTTGTAGCACTCAGAATACCACTCAAGATTATTCAACATAAGCCTCACTAATCGATACAGCCATTCAGTCAAGAATAAATGAAGATAATCTGTACAAATCACTCAGGATTATACAATTTTGGGGCTCATATTGAATGAAGCTTTCTTGGATAGATTCTTTAGATTGAAAGAAGGAGAATCTCCTCTTGAGAGAGATGAAGCAACGGAATGAGAGAGAGTGTGAAAAAAAAATCAGATTCTAGCTCCGTCCAGGAACCCTAATAAAGCTCAAGTAGAAGACCCTAGATGTCTTGCAATCCAACGGCGAGTAATACGACACTTGGCAAGATCATAACCATTGCTTTAGTTTTATAGAAAGCGTGTTTTAATAACACATTTTTTGCTAACATTACGTAAACCATTTATCTCTTACACTAACCAGCCCAACAGCCCAGCAGAAGTATTAAGTCAGCCCAACATCATTGGGCCACATTTCTTCACAATATCATTTTAATCTACACTGATAGGGGCAATGTTGTATTGGCAATTAAATGATAGTTTTTAAATCTCTGTTTTACGTTATAAACAATGTGAAATATTATCAAAACATCAATTTTAATCTCGTTAAATTAATCATATATATAAATCCAAAGTCCATGGTATACGAGTCTTTATGGACGAAATTGTGCAATATGGTCTATTAAGTGATACAACTGTTACATAAATTAATATGGCACGTAAAATGTTCACTAGTTCAATATGTGTAATTTCTTTAACAAAAGGTTTTTCTGTGTCTTGATATTTTGGAAGAAATAATGTTACTAAAAATCTAAAATAGCCAAAAGAAATATATTTCAAAATATATTTTTATATGGTCACAAAAGACTCGGAAAATTTAATAAAAAAGAATAAGATCTTAAAGTGTCTTTGTTAGTGTTGTATAAAAATGACTCGAGTGAGGTTCTCAAGAGTCTCAAGCCTGGGATATATAAATGGTGACTTGGGTCACAGCAGTTCAATTAATTTAATACCTCAAAAAATATAATGGAATAGCCCAATTTTTTACATTCATTTTTTAAGTAATAAGCTTTTAAATTATTGTTATTGTCTATTTAAAATTATTCGATAAAGTGTAAAACGAATAAAATTACTTGAGATTATTGACATGTGGCAATCTAATGATTTATATATATATATATATATATATATATATAGTAGGAAAAATTGTGGTGAAATGTGAAAATGATTTCTTAAAAATGTGTGATTGTAAATGAGTATCGGTAAAAATGATTTTCAAATAATTACTTCCACGCAAGTACTAATAGTAAAAAAGGTCTCACTGAGGACAACTTACATTTTGACAGTGTATCTCATGCTTGGCTTGGTAAAAAATTGTGTGACTACTTGTATTGAGATTGTAAAGTTGGCCAAGGGCCATTGAAAAAACTATTTACTAAAATTTAGCATCTGACTAGCAAGGGCGAAGCCAGGATTTGTGTTCAGTGCGGGCAACATTTTTCGACGTCGAACTTTGAGGTTTTGGTCATAGATTTAATTATGATAAAAAATAAAACAATATTAAAAACGACATAATTTATATATTAAACTTGTTCCTTGCGAGTTTTCATACTTTGATATCGTCGTACAGTAACTTCTTTATCGAGCTTCAAAAATACATCTTTCTCTACATAAACAATTGTGCTATCATTCATTCACTGATCACCCATCCGATTGCACAATCTATCCTTTACGATACTCATTACAGAAAAGACTCTCTCCACAGTAGCAGTAGCAATCGGTAAAATCAATGCTAAAGTCAAAAGTCTGTAAACCAATGGATATACCTTATCTTTCTTTGTCGGAACTAACTTCTCCGCAAGATCACCAAGGTCATTCAACCCTTCAAACTCTTTGTTAGAGTGCATATTAAAAATATAAGTCTCAAGTTGATCGTTAAGTAAATGACATCTACTGCAGAGAAATCTATTAGATAAAACTCAGCAAGTCAAATCAAGCTTTTCTTATCAAAAGAAGAAGTGAATCCTATGGATATAAACAAACTACACAAAGGAGTAACTCTGTATTTACCTTCGAGAAACGATCATTCAATTCTTGAAGTTGTAAATCGATGACAGAGTAGAACAAATCTACTTGGTAATGATGTAAATTTGTAATTTCTGGAGAATTACGCTAAGGGTGACCATGAAGTGCAAGGCATACAAACATATCATTCATGTTGGGTATATGAATGTAATGTTGTTGACAAAAAGAAAATACTTCTTCTAAAATGGAGTCTTACCCTTCGTCTCTCATTATTTGGAGTCATCGTTTGTACAATCTCACCAATTGCATTGCATTCACAATATCTTGATATTTCCTTTGCAATGCCTTTGACAGTTCATTTGACATCTCCAAGACATTTCTCATCAACTGTAGATTAAATGCAAAATCAAATTTTTGTATCGACTCCAATAAATTTGTTGCATCAGATCTTTGATCACAAGAACAAGATTCATCTTCAACAATCAATGCAAGTACATCTAAAACAGAAGAGAACACGGCAAGCAAGCTGACCCAAGAATTATAATGTGAACTCTATCGTGTATCACCAGAGCGCTAAAGGGTCGTTTCTTGATTAAGTCACCGTCCACTTAAAATCTCACATTTTTCCAATGCCTCAACAATAAAGTCTAACTGTTTTTCTCAAAGAAGATCACAACGTTTGGAAGATGCTCCAACAGTATTTATCACGTCATCAACCACACGAAAGAAGTTAGTAATAGAGATGCTCTTCTTTGCCACAGCCACAAGCGCAAGTTGGAGTTGATGAGCAAAACATCGAATGTAAAAGGCATATAGACTCTCCTTCAAAATGAGTGTTTTCGGAGCCTTAAACTTACCTTGCATATTACTTGCTCCATCATAACCTTGTCCTCTCAATCTAGACATGCTCAGGTTATATCTAGAAAATACCTTATCAATTGCAGCCTTGAGTGATAGAGCCGTGGTACATGTAACATGTTCAATCCTTATGAAGTGTTCATCGACATGCCCACTATTGTCTACATAATATAAAACAATAGACATTTGTTCCTTTATTGACACATCATGGGATTCATCAACTAGAATAGAAAATAGTGAGTCACCAACATCTTTGATAATAACATTGATCGTTTCAATAGCACAAGCATTTTACTATATCCTTTCGAACATCAGGTGATGTCAATTTGCAATTGTGAGGAACATTTCCCAAGTGATGGCATTAATAACTTCATTATGAGCAGCCAAAAATTGCAATTGCACTAAGAAGTTACCTGGATTGAGAGAATCCTCAGATTCATCATGACCTCGAAATGAGTGCCCTTGTCACAAAAGAACTCGAACACAATCATTGGATGCATTAAGATGTGTAACATATGCACTTCTTGCTTGTTTTGACTATTTGTAAAAAACTGATTGAATGTGTTGCTCTTGATTCATCAACACTTCATACTTAATGCGAGTTTAATTATGTGCACTATCATGAAGTCCAACATGAGCATGAAGCCTTTTTTTATCTTTCCAATATGTGAAATCTTCGCCAACAAAAGACTCACATCTACCTTGCTTTCCAGAACTTGTTCTGAAAAGATAACAATACAAACAATAAGCAGCATCCTTCTCTACACTATACTCCAACCAACTACTGAACTCTTTAAACCATGAAGGATTGGATCGTCTAATTGTTACTCCAAAAGTCATGATCTTAGGCTGACAAGGACCCTTTAACAAATATGCTCTTTGAACTTCATCTCGAATGTTAGCATTGTAATCCAAAATGGGTATCCTTAGACTAGGATTAGTTGGAAGTTTTGTGACATCAGTTCCACATTATTCGATACCCCCTCATCAACATTATCTACGTTTCTTTTTCATTGAAAGTATCTATTCATTTGATATCTAGATTTAAACATTTGATATCCAATTATTACTGGGAGTGAGTGAGAATAATTCATAATGACAAAAGGATCATAAATTCACAATTTCAATTCACAGTGACCAATTTAGTAATTCACAATGCAATACTAATATATACTATCAATCCACTGCAATTCACATTTCACAATGCAATTCACAATTCACAATTTCACATTATCAATCTAATTTCACAATATTAATTCACCTTCCAAATCGCAATTTCACAATGCAATTTATACTATTTTCAAATCTTAAACAACTTGAACTTACAATTTCACACAGTCCACTAGATGGAAGCGGAGAAGTCTGCTGTCCCTGACTGTCCACACCTCTTTGAGCAATCAAAGTCCAAAGTGCTAAATTTTATTTCATATTTAAAGACCAAAAAAATGTATATAGATCATTACAATATACACAAATAAAAATAACAACAAATAAGGGGGAAAAATCAAAATCACCCGTGTACTGCTGAAAAAATTGAAATTGGAGTGGCTGAAACTGAAATTGAAATCAAAATCACCTTCTTCAGTTCTTCTAGGTTCTAGCTTCTTCTTCTTTCGTTGGGCCGGCAGTTGGCTGGAACTGGAAGAAGCAATAGCCCGTTGAAGTGTTGAACGGTTTTGCAGTTCAGGTGGCGGCCAGGCGATGGTTGGATGTTAAAGTTGCGGTGGGGAATTGGGGATACTAGGCCAGAGATTAGAGCCCCTAATCTAGAAGATGCCAGCCGCCAATGGACAATGGACTAGAACTAGGAGTCTGGAAATCGACGACTGCGAGTGGCGAGAAAAGAAGCGTGAGTCGAGAGAGACGTGATTCACGTGAGGGAGCAAGGGTTTGGTTTTGATTTCAATGAAAATGGGTTAATTGAATTATTATGATTCTGGGTCTGGGTCAATAAACGGGTCATGGGCTTGGGCAATTGGGCTTCCATCTGGGTTGGAGAGTTGAACTAGGCTTTACAAAATAAAATTGAAAAAAAAAAAAATGGGCTTGTTGGAGCCCAAAAGTTTAGTGCGGGCTGGACCTAATGGGGCTCCGCCTCTACCGACTAGCAAATTTAGAAATGATTTATAAAGAAAAATAATAATGAATCTCATTAAATAAATGGATAATAATATGTATTAGTTATGAATACGTGGTTGAAACTAACGTTTGACATTTATTTAGTTTAAGAATTATTCACAATGAGTATTAAATTTTGAATTTAGATATTTACAGAAAATAGAAATGATTTATTGGTTCTTATCTCAACAAATCCAAAAATTAAATTCGATCACAATGGTTGTGAATATAAGGATCTCACAAAATATATGGATAATAATGAGTATTAGTTATGTATTCGTGAATGAATGAAAATTTCATTATTTAAACCTCAGCATGTAGCTTTGGCTTGTTAATATTAAAATATGCCAAACAATCCACGTCTTCTTAAGATGAGATATTCATGATTCAATCAACTCCAATCAATGTTCTAGGAGCTAGTTTGGCGTATATAATAAGCGAGAGCATATTACATTTTAGATAAATGTATGTCAAATATTTTATATAGGCTGTATTTTGGACTTAGTTGATGAGGAAATTACATGAGATACCTCATTTTATAAAAATATTCATATAATACATCTTAACATTTTTATTATGATATTTACTACAAAATTCCAGTATAAAGGAAATGTTAAAATAAGCAAAATCACCCATCTAGTTTTAGTCCGCCCTAAATCATGCCTCAAACAATTCCTGCAATTCTTCCACCATATTTGATAATCCCCAAATCACATTTCTCAATACATACCGAAAATCATTCATCCTCCCAAGTTCAACCTCTTCTCAATTATTGCCCAAAAAAAATCCTTCAATCTATCTGCAAATCTTGTTAATCAGAATTGGGTTATCCTCCCCAACCCAATTTCGTAAATAACGGTAAAAAATGCAATCCTCCTAAAATATGATTAAAATTGCACCGCTTTTCCTAAAGCATAATCGATTCCTCATCGTGCATTGGTCTCTTCTCCACCCACCACAAATCACTCCACTGCTCAAAGATTTCCGCCACATTGAGAAATTCCTATCCAATTACAATTTTAAAATTGTATATCTCATGTAAATTCTCTAATCATCCAATTATATTGTACAGAAATTTGGTATCAGTAGTTGAACTATATCCTATTTCCTTTCTAAACAAGTTTATATAGTTTTTTTGGATTTTTTTCAATTTTATTGCACGTTAGTGTGCATGCTGTACCAGTTGCTCGGAGTTTGGAAATGGAGAAAGTAAGTTCGTCGTCCGCAAATGGAATTATGGAGCTTCAATTCCCATCCAACAGGCCGCTCCAGATGTTAGTATTTGTTCTTTCTTTGAACCGTTTAGTTTTTAAAACTTGTGAGAAATTATTTGTATCCGTATTATAGATGTATGCTATTTTAATTTCACTTTACCCAAATTGGAATGGAAACAATTTGCATTATCAGTTGAATAGGAAGTGTCCAAAAAATTGCACAAAAAATCAGTTTGATGTAATATTAACATCTGCAATTTATATCAATGTGCAATTTGAATTACATGTGTTGGGCAAATTGGAATTGAGACAATTGGCATTTTAAGCAGTGGAACTTTATATCCTCAAAATTTGCAAAATTAATTAGTTTGATGTTATTAACGGCTGCAGTATAGATCAATTTTCAATTTGAATTTACGTGATAGGGAAATTGGAATTTCAGACAATTTGCATAGTAAAATAGGAAAAAAAAAATTGAGCTTAAATGATATAAAGTAGGCGCAAACTAAAGTACAATCTAAAAGGTTATTATGCCCTTGTTTGAGCCCCATTTTGAGGGGAATAATGCATTTTTAAATAGTAATTGATGGCGATGTGTGGTTAAAAATTAAGAAAATATTTTTGGATTTACGTGTAATATAATTTTATTGAAGAATGCGTAGTTGAAAACGAGTTTTTTTTTTTTTAAAAATGATTTTTTATAACAATGGGGCTCAAACAAAGGCTATATAATTTTTCCTTTTTATTTGACAGCTATGTACTAGTTTATTCAACAAAATCTCTCAACTTGTAACCATGTCCTAACACCGACATGGATAACCACGCAGCCATGTTGATTAATTTATATCCATACAATTTATGAGTAGTTATGCGTTTTAACTTTTTAGCTAAATATTACGTGCTTTTTACTCATTTTGTCTTCTTGTAATCATGTTTGTATTAATACTTGTGCTTTTGAATTTTGTTTATAGCCTATTTTGGTTGGGTAATATAATGGAATAAGATACATTCAACAACCCATTGTGTAATTTTAAATCAGCACTGTAGTATATTACACATAGTTCCATAAAATGCATGTAAAGATATTTTATATCATGTTTCGTTTCGTGCTATATGTTTCAAACCATTCATATCATCTCATGCCATGTTAATCACAACCTACACACTCCACGTAGATGAATATATAGTAAAAATGCACCAGCATGACGACACATTACACAGAGATACCAAACCATGGATGTGCGTCAATTAAAAATACATACAATACGAAGTGAGATATATAATTCTCACTGACATGTCATCTAATTTATTGGAAACACTTCACACACATGCGACCTTGATATATCCATTACGGATAAGAAGACACTTTACAATTTTTTAGACAAAATGCGTTAATGGTTCAATGACTACGAACTTAATGTCATTATATTTTAACTTTGTGTTCGCCGTTGTTTACCAGATCATTATCTTTTATTTAAATGGTATCAGTGCATAGTAATTAGTTCATAAGATAGTCAATTTATATATCCACTACTTGACTCGTGTTTTATCAATCAAGATTTATGAATTTTTTTTTTCTAATTTTTGATTTCATATCCTAATATCTAATGACAACATTTCTTACATTCTACACAGACATGACTGCAGTTGTGTGATTAAGTACATCAATTTCCTCATAAACCAGACAACATACTTTATGAAGTAAAAGTCCGACCCAAACAGATCAAGAGATCAACAAGAGCATTCTAGTCAAGGCATGAAGAGATTCCAGCAAAAAGGCAGACATTGCCAAATCACTTCTCAACATATGTGTCGAGCTTGCAATCCTATTGATTCTTCTACAATTTTCTCTGAGCATGGTTGCTTTTCTATTTCTCTTCTATAATATCCTTGGCATCCAAAAACACAAGCAAACAAAATCATAAACAAAACTATGAGGCATAGCATGCTACATCATACATATACGATTTTTTTCTTTAAGGATACAAGTTCTCATAGAGAATAGCATTTGTAATTTAACGAATTTCAACGAATATAAACTGTGCATGTTATTGTCCAAATGAAATTCTCTTACTTTGATACATTATGTTGCAGATCAAACACATAATTTATATCTCATACATGTAGAAGAATGTAGTGATGTATCATCGTCAATTTCATCATAACATAGTATATAAAATTACCTTAATTGTGATAAAAAAATCATTAGAGAAGAAATTACAATTTGAAAAAGTATCAAATTCGTACTAGGAATCGATGAAATATGATGAATGAAACTTGAAGATGATGATCAATCCCAAACAAAATTATATCACAAGTGATATGGCAATTGTTTTTTATTCATTTTTTGAAATAAATATGATGGGAGACACATTTAATACAAGCTTAATATGTGTTCTTATTTAAATTTCAATTACAAAGGGGATGGAGGAGTAATTTTAGGAACTAGTATTTATAAATATATTTACATAGTATATAGTATATTAGGTATAAATATCATATCGTCAGTATTTTTGGATATTTTATTTTTTTATAGGGTATATATGATTTTTTCCGATCTATAAAATCAGAATAAAGAAGTCAAGAGCCGATGGGTCAAGGTGGAGGCCTAACAACCCTTCTTAGATTTTGACGGTATCTCCACTGAAAGAAATTAAAAATAAATACAAAGCGCTTATTTTTCATTAAACATAAAGAGTATATTCACTATAAACAATTTCCTAATTTTTTGCGTTTTGAGAATAAATTTATTGTTAACAAAATTTGGCATGTGAACCAAAAAAAATGGCCTTCAAATTTCAAACCTATCTTTAAATCACATGACAAGGGAAATTCTATCTTATCAATCCGATTGAGCTTAAGTTTTTAGATATACATTTTTGAAAGTTCGAATTTGTCAAACATTGAGAAATGTAAATAATCTAATGTTTTACCTCTATCCAAAAAAGGAAAAAGAAAAAGGGGCAAGTATGTAATATGTACAAGTTTTAAATTCACTTTTATAGTTATTCTGGCATATGTCAATTCAACAATTCGTAGCAAGTTTGGTAAATTGATGGTCAAATAATAACTAAATCACTATTATAGTTATTCTAGCAGATTTCAATTCAATAACTCATAGCAAGTTTGGCAAATTGATGGCCAAATAATCACGTACCACTAAGCTACATTACAGCAGAAGCTAAATAGCACAAGTGAAGAATTCAATTTCAAAGTTTAATTGTGTCTAAATGATTGAAAATTAGGCAGATCATGGACCATACATGTGCCAAACAATCCTCGTTTTCTTAAGATGGCATGTACATGATTCAATCAACTCAATCAATGTTTTAGGAGTGGCATATATAATAAGTAAGAGCATATTACTTTTTAGATAACTATTTTTCTCAAATATTTCATATAAGTTATACTTTGCACAGAGTTGATATCTCAATAATGCAACAACAAAGAAACCAAAACCCGATGGGTCTAGGTGGAAGCCTAACAGCCCTTATTAGATTTTGACGATATTTTCGCTAAAAATAAAAATAAAAATAAATACAAAGTGCTTATTTAGCATTCAGCATAAAATGAGTATTCACAATGAACGATTTACTAATTTTTTGTTTTTTTAATTTGGCACGTGGACTATAAAAAGGACTTCAAAGTTCAAACCTATGTTTGAATCACACGACAATAGAAATTCCATATTATCAACACGATTGAGCTATGTTGTTAGGTATACTTTATTGAAAGTTCGAATTTTTCAAACTTTCAGAAATGTAAATAATTTGATGTTTTACCTCTATCGAAATACAGGGAGCAAGTGTGTAATATGTACAAGATAACAACTAAAATCACTATTATAGTTATTCTAGCATATGTCAATTCAATAATTCATAGCAAGTTTGGAAAATTGATGGCCAAATAATAACTAAATTCACTTTTATAGTTATTCTAACAGTTGCCAATTCAATAATTCATGGCCAGTTTGAAAATTTGGTGGCCAAATATCATGTACCACTCAGC